CCCCAAAACCCCAAAACCCCAAAACCCCTCAATGTGACAAAACTATTGTTAATTTTTTATTCTTAAAAATGAATGAAGTAAATATTTTACTTCATTATGCTGTCAACAAAGCCAGCAAGAATTAAGTAATTTGTCATATTAAATTGAATAGGATCCTAATTCAAGTGAGGTCAATAGTGAGTTAATACAAGCTTGTAAGATCATCAATGATTTTTATAAAATAAGAATGAAGATAAAATGCTCAACTATTACTTTCAACAGATTGTGGCTTTCAAATTACTTATTCACATGTGTATAGCTTACATGAGGTTCTTCCAAAGATAATCAAGATGCTATCCTACCTCCCAAAGCCATTGGAGATGTTGATAAGCACATTCATTGGCAAGTTTGTGGCAATTGGAGAAGCTATTTCATTTTTATAACAAAACTATAGCTATAAAAGCTTTGTAGATGAGTTTGAAGAAGCTTATATCGATCTCTCCTAAGATCGCTATAAACGGGAAGTGATATTTCTGTGGAGAATAATTCAGAATAAAATGTTGTAAATTCCTGCTGAAACTATTCACATTACTCAAGAGGAAATTTCTGAAGAAGCTACAGGCCTCTGTGGCTGAGTTCCTCCAGAATCATTTCTTATTTCTCTATTCAGGTAGCGAATTTGGTGTAAAATTGTGGAATTTCTTAAGAAAGTGCTCAAACGCCGACTCTTTGAGTCTTTAGAGATAGACTTTTTAAAAGACGAAGAGACCAGACAAATGAGACTCAAGGCTAAACGACAGAATTATACCTACTTCGAAGGTGATGTCGAAGAAGATTCAGATGAAATCTCTGGTCTTGAAGAAGAAACTTTGAATATTTTGAATATGAACAATAAGTTATTATTTAAAGTCGAAAAGAAAATAGATAAATTAGAGAAACGTTTGAATAATGTTCCTACTAAGGAAGACAAGATACGCTTCCAAAGAATCTACTTGACAAAGGATGAGAATCTTACGATTGTTTTTACAGTCATCTGTAAGACACATGGCTTTAAGTCAAAGAATGAATGGAATTTTAGAAAAGATATTGGTAAGCCATGAGTTTCACCCCTAGACTATAACGACCAACTGCTATATCAAAGCAATGTTTCATACCTGCTTAAGTCCAACAAGATCATGGACTACATCAACAGAGATATAATGAAAAGGATTTGTATAGAAGCTTCCTGATGCTCAATATGATGATTGACAATAGCACGATTGGAACATTCTTTTGGCCATTTTAGACTTTTTAAGCAAGAATGTAGATGAATGTTATAAGGAAGCTTTCGAGAGTTTAAAAGTTTGCCTAAAAAGTTCCAAGAATGCTTTCTCACCCCATGTGATGACCTGAATGAAAGCACTAAAGCAGCATGATTGCGAGCAATCAATAGAACTGATTTTGAATTCAAGGATACTTTGTCTTTGTATTCAGTACCTCGATTACTAGTGTAACTCAATTTTTAACGGAGTTGATAACAAATAAGCCTCCTACACTGACTGTAAAAAGCCATGATAGGGTGATCAGGTACATGATTCAGAGGTAAGGCCTTAGAAAAAACTTGAGGCAACAATTCTTTAAATAATCATGGACATGGTCATTGGAAACAACAAGAAAATGAATATGCTAGGTAAAAACATTTATTAAAAATAGTAAAATATTGAGAAGGAAAAGCTACAAAGAAGGAAAGGAAAAATCCTGAGTTTGTTGATCCATTGGCTGAACTTGAGAATATCCCTAGGTTTCCCACTATGGTTTTAGATAACCGTGGGTTCTCTGAGTCATATGGCTATAAAGACTACACTGAGACAAGGATCGCTAATGTGGAAGACACTAAAATGAGTCAGGAGTATACAAGAGACACAATAAACTTCTTATTTAACTTGGTTGATGGCTACCTCTACAAAACTTTGGATCATCAGGATGCAATTTATTATATTCCATTGATGGAATATTTATTTGGATATGAACAACAAGTCTAGTCATGTGCCTTTACACTCATGCCGAGAGAATTTATCACAACAATGACCATAACTCTGAGTGTATCGACTTCCTTAAAATCCCATGAAAGTAAGTTATCAAGACAATTTGTACAGCATTATTAAAAATATCCTTGATCCAAAGACCAAATATAAATTTTTGATAGAGTACAAAGCTTTAATCAAAGAAAAACTGAGACATCACTTTTTGACACTAAAAAATTTAATCGTGGATGAGTAAAACTGGTAATTAAAATTTAGGCTTAAAAACCCGATAGAAATTACTTCTAAGAAAATTGATATTGTTAGAACTACTGTGATGCCAGATAGGTAAGATATCTCAAACAGTATTTAATTATAAATATCCAGAAATCTTCTATAAGCTTGCACTATAAAACACTTGAAATTATATGAGAAACTCTGGAAAGATTATATTTAAGCTTTAAGATTAGTTTTCAAGCTTCCTTAATTGCTTACTCAAAGTCGATTAGATTTTTATCAAATTTTTTGGCCGTCAATTCAAATTTTATAGAGTTGGACCCTGGATTGACTAAATACATTAGTCCAAAATGCTGGGCTAGACTGGTTGATCACTTCTTCAATCATGAAGCAGTTGGCCAAAAAGTGAGTCGGATAAAGCTTTCGTACATATTCTAAATCTTATTCGACTCCAGATTTGTGTCTGTCTCAACCAAGAATTATGACAATTCTCTAATCACTAAGCTAATGAACTTAGTCTACAGTCAGAATATTCTGGAAAACATTGTTCTTATCTTTGAAGCAAAGTGAAACAAGTACATTTACGAATGTGCTTTAGGTTCTTCATGAATCATCTATAGCCAAAAATATCCCTGTGTAATGAACTCTACTCTTACTGTTGCTCCTTTGTCAAAGTTCTCTATCCGATTGGAACGAAATACGGAGTAGACAGCGATGATGGACAGGAGGAAATAAACCAGCTTGCTGCTCAGCTCAAATTGGCAGAAGATCCTCCAATATATTGAGAACTTAGGCATCACAAAAGCCTTTGACGAATCTATGATCGAGACCAATAGCGAGGATCTTGAAGAAATGCTTGATAATGAACTCGACCAAAGCTCTAAACACTGGGAAAAGATCGAAACTTTTAGCAACCAAGTCATCACAGGTAAGGCCATGGACTATTTGTTTATAGAGCAGCACAAAATCAGCAAGATTTTGGCAAGATCGATAGTATCAAAAACTTCATGGCTGGCTCAGGCCAAGGCGACTCTTTTGGAAGCGATCATGGGCTCGATGATATTAATGAGGCAAGTGTTAATAGTGTGGAGCAATCAAAAGAGAAGAATGAAAGCTCTGGGGAGTTATTTGAAATCTCTCATTAATATTCAATGAAGAAAATGTATCTTGGGGTTTTGGGGTTTTGGGGTTTTGGGGTTTTGGGGTTTTGGGGTTTTGGGG